AATTTTCCAATCATTTTCAATATATGAATGAATGTAATATATTTCCCAATCACAATCAAAATGAATAAAACCGCTTGTGTATTTAAATAATGTTGATTCAATGATGCGAAGAGAGGGTGTTTAGGATTGTTTAATCTGATGCAATCGAATTCTCTCAAAAAAAAAAGAATTCAATATTTGGATGGTTCTAAAAATAAATCACATTCATATATGAAATAGAAGGGAAAAAAATTATATTAAATTAAGGTTTAAGGAAATCATCAAAGAAAAAACAAATCATCATGATCATCAACAACAAAAAAAATGTCACCCAAAATCACTCAAGATTTATCGAAAACGATTCTTTCGAATGATTGTGATGATGATTGGAATGATGGAAATGACAGGAAAAAAAATGATTCAGGAAAATTCTTCAATTATTCAATAATATCATTCAAAACATTCATTCAAGTATCAATTCAATTTTAATGGAAATAATTTTCCAAGAAAAACATTTTGTTATTAATCAAATATTTCTCAAGAGTAGATGATGATGATGATGATTATCATTATCACACTTGAAACCTTCAAACACATACAAATTCTCATTTCTTAATTCCTGATGCACAATAATTTTGTAGCAAAAAAAAAGATTGTTATAAGCATTCTGATCATACATTTTTTTTTTGATAAACTATATTTACAATGCAAGAATCAAGAATATTTGTTGTTGTTGTGTGACTAACTTTATCACTAAAATAGAGTAGATTATTGATGGGTAAAGAAGAAAAATTCTGCTGATTGAATTGGTTTTTTTCAACAAGTAATTACATTCTGTTTTCATTTTGTTTTTTTTATGTTCATTTGAGCCAAAATCTATTATCATCAAAACAAAAACGAAAAATCAAATTTGGAAATATCGAAATTGATTCATCATCGATTTTTTTAATCTATCCATCTATCTATCGATCGATCGATCGATTCATTACACGTACACAGAATAAAACAAAATGAAATGAAATGAAAAAAAATAAAAATGAAAATTGATATAGGATTTCATAGATAAATTAAGTAAAGAATATGACGATGATCATCATGATCATCATCATCAAGATTATTATGATTTATGTAGGGATGATATTGGTGAAAATATAAAAATTCATTGGCCAAAGAATCAAATAGAATTTGGTTACAAACTATTTCTCTCTCACTCACTTTCCATATCAAAATTGAATTATGATTAATGATGATCACCATCATCATCGTTGTTGGTCATTATTGTTGATTATTAGAAAATGAATGAATGAATGAATGAGGCGAAATAATCATGATAACAATATAAATGTATTTATTTCATTGAAGCAAAATTTTTTTTTCTCTCGCTGTGAAATAGGCAACAATACTAATCTTATTTGTATACAGGGGAAGAAAAAAGAGGCAAAAAAATTACATTCTTTTTTTTTGCAAATTCAATGGAAAAAACAGATGATTATGATGATGTGTTCACATCGATTCTGTAAATTAAATTATCTTTGAAATGATTTTGTTGCATATATATAAATTTGAAGAAATTCTTGATAAATTCTTTTATATATTATTTGATTCTGATTCTAATTTTATTCTTTTTTTCCATTTTTTGTTCAAATCATCCATTATTTTAGCCTTTCAATTTGATTGAATTGATATTCCGCAAACGCCTAACAATATGAATGCAAAAATAATAATCACAATTTTTTGATTATTAATTTAATAAGATATTTTTCGTACGGGTTAAATATGGCAACCGTAACATCATCATCATCATCGACATCCAAATCTGGAATCGCATCTACGCCAACAACAACGATGACAATTCCGATTAATAATAATAATAATAATGATGATAATAGTCTAATCGAATGGTTAAGAAATAATTGTCCAAAATTATTAACAGCAGCAAATTTACAGCAACAAAAACAACAACAAGCTCATTATAATCATAATAATATCACATCGGATCTAATCAATGATAAAAAATCAAATTTATCGTTATTAAATTTATTAAATAATGATCAACGCAAACAACATTCGATGATAAATAATAACCAACATGATTCTTCAAATAATCATCTTCATAATCATCAGCATTCATCATCAATTACATCTTTATCCAAAATTAATAACAACATTAATAATGATGATAATATTGTTTCATCGATTGATTCAACCAAAAATATATTACAAGATACAAAACAACAACAACAGCAACATTTATCATTATCGAATGATTTTGATACATCTGAACATTTAATGATAATGTCAACATCAACAATTGAAAATGATTTAACAGGTTCATTATCAATGATAAATTCAATGGATAATAATAATAATAATAATGATCCGATATTAATATCATCGATTAGTAGCCATAATAATGATCATCATCATCATTCACATCATCATAATCATCATCATCAACAACATCATCAGAATCATCAAACATCAATTATAGTTGATCATACAATAATTGATACGAATAGTGAAACAGCTCGTAATGCAATCATTTATGTTGTTGTTATATTAAGTTTCTATTTATTAGCTATATTAACAATTGCAATTCAATATTATCTAAAACATCAAACATTGGATCCATTTAGTGCCTATATTTTTGGTGGTGGTTGTAGTTCATCAACAACAACAACAAACAGAAATAATGATGGACGTGGTTCGAATTCAAAATCATTCAATAATAAAAATCATCGAAGTAATAATAATAATTATTTAATGAATCGAAAACAATCTAAATCAATTATTAGTGGTGATAATGGATTGAATTCATTAACAAATCATCAACAACCATTATTATTATTGAAAAGGCCATTGAATAATTCTTTAACATCGAGTATTGTGATGAATCAACAACAACAACAACAACAACAATCAACAGCATCATCTATATCAGCCGCATCCGCATCCTCATCATCATCGTCATCATCATCAAGATCAATGTTATTTGAACAGATGATGTTAACAGCAACAACAACAATGATGATGACCAAATTTCATCAACAACAACAAAAACAAACATCAACTTTATCGAAAAATAATTTAGTAAGTTGTGATTTTTTCCTATGAATTCTTGAAATGTCAGCTTTTCTATCTAACATCATCATCATCATTATGACATGTGATTATTTGAAGAATTATTCGAGAGGAAAAAATTATTGATAATAATAATAATAATAATAACGATGATTGTAGCAAACAAACAAAAAATAGTAAAAACAAATAGAATTATAAGAAAAATAATTTAATTCAATTATAGGTTGTGTGTGTGTTTTGTCCAACAAAACAAAATAAAAACAAAAAAGCATACATTGATGATCGATGAATTGATGAGAAAAATAAATAAATAAATAAAGCATTCTCATGAGAATCCGATGATGATGTTGATTGAATTTTTTTTTTTTGAAATTTTTCTTCTACTTAGGCATCAATCAAGAATGTTGAATTTCATTTTTTTCTGGATAATTTATTTCTAATTCATTTTGATCTTCGCTAATTTATTGAATTTTTTACCACTTTCTTTTTTCTGTTACATTACAGGATTCATCAATGGCTACAAATTTTTTAAAACCATCATCATCGACGACGATGAAAAAAAAATCTCCAATATTCAGTGATCATAGACAATTAAATGATAGTAATCATCATTATGAAACATCGATTGTGAATAATAATCTAACTGATAAAGGTGGCGGTGGTGGTGGTTACGGAAACAGTAAAGATGTCGAAAGAGGAAGCACATGTGATAGTGATGCTATCAACGGAAACATTTTACATTCATCATCATCATCATCAATTGTAATTGTTCATCATCAAAATGATAATGATGATTGTAATCGACAAATTTCAATCAATATTCAGCCAACAATAATATTATCGAATGAAAATGAAAATAATTCATTTGAACAAATTGATCAGGAAAATAATCAACAACAACAACAACATCAGGCATTGATGATTGATGAAATTGATGATTTTATTGATGATGATGACGATGACGATGATGATGATGATGATGATGATGATGATGAAGAATCTTGTATCGATACTGATGATGATGATGATGATGATTCTGTCATGGAAGAATCTGAACAAACTAATTCAAAATTTAAAATTTTCTCATCAAACATTCTTAATCAAACTAAAGGTGATTTGTTATCAAATTCGATAACAACAACAGCAACAACCGCCACCGCCACCACCACAACTACTACATCAAGTCGTAGACAAATTCTAAAGAATCTTTTTTCATCATTCGGTTCATTTGGTTCATCATCGACACCATCACCACCGCCACCGTCAATGATTGATCAAACAAATTCATCATCAGTGCCTTTATCACAACAATCAGCATCGATGATCACCACTACAGCCGCTACCGCAACAACAACAACAATGACCAATGTAAAACCAGTTGTGAAAAAATTTCTTATACGATCATTATCATTACGAACAAATGATGATTCATTCGAATCATCATCAAGTTATTGTCCATCATCATCATTACATAATCATCCAAATTTTCAATCAATAACAAGTGCAACCAGTGGATCATCATCAACTACAACAACAATGTCACATCAAGATCAAATCGATTGTGGTTCAACATTGTCACAAACAAAATTAAAACAACAACATTCACCATCATCAACAAATAAACTGCCCAAGATTGTTCGATTTCAACAACAGAAATCAAGTTCTACACAGAATTCGTCCAATCATATGATTAAATCATCAAATACAACTACATTATTATCATCATTATCATCATCATCGTTATCATCATCATCATCTGTTGTTATCGATAATGGCCAGCATCATCATCATCGACGATATGAAGAAACACATTTGTAATAATTTTCTTTCATGATAATTATTACAAAAAAACTAATCGATAATATCGATTTTATTATTGTAACAATTTTATCCTTTCATATTTTCATACATGTAATTATAGAAAAAACTGACATAATTAATGAAAATAAAATCATTTTTATTCATTGATAAATCATGTATTATTTTTTAATTGATTTTTGTTTTCGAGAACGTCCAAGATTTGAAGGCTTTCTTTTACGTTTCATAGCTGGTTTTTTCGATTTCGAATGTTTCGGAACATCATTATTATCATCATCAGCCATGTTCATTTCATAATCAGAATCTGCATCATTTTGATCAAGTAAATGATCAAATTGTTCGGCCGATGCAAATATGTCGTTTGTAATGGATGAAAAACCATGTTTACCTTTGAATGGTGCAGCATTACGTGCACGATTTTTTCCCATTGCTTTACGTATAATTTCGGGTTCAAAGTTTTGTTCATCTTCATCTTCATCGTTGGTAGGAAATTCTTCATCATCATTTGAATTGCTATGAATGGATCCATCATCATCATCATCATCTTCAAAATCTTCCATATCGAAATCTTCATCATCAAATTCTTCATCAAAATCTGCTTCGTCATCATCACCATCATTAGATTTAGTTTGTTTCTTCGTCGATTTCTTTTTTGTTGATGTTTGTAAATCTTTAGCAAAATCTATACTATCATCACCAACATATTGTTCATAATTATCAAGTAAATCGTTAAATTCTAGGCTGGTAACCGATTCAATATCACTTTCATCATCATCATTATCATCACCATTTTTCGATTTTTCCATTTTATTTGATTTTCTTTGCTGTAAAAATTTATAGATGAAACGTTCATCAATCGGTATTTGTTCTTCATTTTGATTAATATAATCTTTGGAATTTATATTCATTGTTGATGTTGATGTTGTTGTCTTTGGTATTCGGCTGAAAATCTTGCCAAGATTTTTCGTTTGACCATCTTGATCATTATTTTCGATACGTTTAGGATTTTTAAATGAAAAACGATCGAGAAAATGTTTGAGACTAAAATCTTCCAATGGATCACCATCATATTCAAATGATTCATTATTGATTATTTTCTGTACAAACATTTGTACAGTTGGATGAAAATGATTACGTAAAGCAAATAATTCCCAACAAGGTTCTTGATCGGCATTTGCATATAATGGATTACGACAATCGAATCTATATTTGCCATCATCTTCATTATCGTTTTGATTTTCATTGTTTTTCTTTAAATCAACATAGACCCAGGATTTGATTTGGCCATTCGATTTTTTTCGATCTTTATCATCATCATCATCGTCATTGAAATTTTCATCAATTTTCGTATCCATTTGAATCGGAATGATGTCAATTTTGAAGCCATCTTTTGTTTTCATTAATGCACCAATAAGAATCAGAATGGCTATTACGAATGATGTCGATGAATGTAAACAAAGCTATTAAATTGAAAAAAATACAAGATTAACAAATCGAATGATATAATTGAATTAACGAACCTGTAATAATCGTTTAATGAATGCTCGTACACGACGTATAATTGGATCGTGTTTCATTGATCGATATAAAATGTTTAATAACAAATTCAATTTATTACATTGATCTAATGTTGTATCCAATAGAAAACGATATAATGATGAATAAAAACGATCGGTTAATGAACCATTTTCACTGAATAAAATCATTTGAAACATTAATGATAATGTCTGTATGGCTGTATTACGATTAACATAATGTATAAGTTTATAGAATGTATTCAAATGTTTTTCAATCAAATCTGATTCAAGTTTTGAATATGGAAATGCACGTGATACACCAGTTAATAATACCGACATTATTTTACTATTCACTTCACCTAATTTTGTACATTTAGTAAAAATGGTAAAATAAATTTGTATAACATGATTAGCCAATTCACGATCAACATTCGCCTGATAGATTATTTCGCTTAAAAAACAAAGACAATAATATTCCGTACGAGCCGTAATATTTGGACGAAATAATAAACGTTCCACTTCTTTTACAATAATCATTTTCATTTGGCTATGATGTTGAAGAATTTGTGCTAATAATCGTGCAGTTGTTGATGCTACACGTGGTGCTGGATCACCTAATTTATTGATTAAACTTTCTAATAATAATTTTTCCTGTTCCGGATTATTAATGAATAAATCATATAACGTTCGAATAGATTTCATTTTCAATGTATCCAATGTATCATGTGAACATTGAACTAATTGTTCAATAAATCGACGATACAATGAACGTATTTGATCTTCAACATGTGTAATAAGAAGAAATTTTCGTCGATAAATATTGAATGAATCTGTATTCAGAAGAAAATCATGATCAACTGAATTGATTTGTTCTTCAAATGATTGTAATTTTTCACGAGGAATTAATAGATCACCAATAAATAGATCACGTATAGTATCGATAGCCATTATACATTCACGTTTTCCTTTTCCATTAACAAAACGTATTAATTGTTCTAATGAACGAAGATTATGTACAGATGAATCCTGTATCAAAATAGTATTGGCTGCTAATTTATCCTGTACTGTACCATTAGATAATACAGTTTTTATCCATTCAAAATCTTGTGCTTTTGATCCATATTGTTTTTGTTGATCATAAACATAATAATCAGATTTCAATAATTTTATTGCTTCAGCACGTAATTCAGTCACATGATCATGACTTAATCGTAATGATTGATCTGAATTTGTTGGAATATTATCGATAACTTTTTGTCGATACCATTTAGTTCCTGCCGGTATTAACAATGTTTGTTTTCGATTATTGCCATCATCATTATTGGTTTGATGATTTGATTTTTTCCATTTGGATTGATATTGATGAGAAATTTTCTTTGGATTCCTATGCAAAACAAATTCTTGTTATTGTAATTCCATTAATAAAATTTACATTCATTAAAACTTACATTTTATCTATGTTGTGGATCGGAATGAAAAATTCAATCACAAAACATGAATATTTTTAGAAATCCAAAAAACCATGTGGATTCTCACGTGATTCAACATTCAAGGATTCTCTGAATATTCATATAATACGTTCTGTTAGTATCCAAATCAAAACAGAATCAATCGATGAATGGCGTATTCGTTTCTTTGTTGTTGTTGATGTTGATGATTTGATTTTGTCAGGAAAAACATTATGTCCATCATAATCATCTCATCGGATTTAATAATCATAAACTAACTAAATTAATTGACAACCAGATTTTATGATCGACTATGATGGCAGGTAAAATGAATAATAATTCTCAACAATCATCATTGACATTGGCTACCCATGCTACCATACAAAATGTTGAATCAATTTTGGAACAATTTTTCTATTATCATATCACTTATCAATGGGATAAAGCCAAAGAATTTATTGAACGTGAACGTGATCAATTTCGTGCCAAAAATTCACATTTAATATTAACCTCAATGTTACATTATTTGGCACAATTAATCATTGCTGATCGTAATTATTTATCGTTGCAATTTTTTTCTTGTAAAGTATTTCAACGTAAAAATTTGTAAGTATTATCATTTAGAATGAAAAAATATCTTTACTAATCGTTTTCATTTAAATTCGAAAGGCTAAAATCAACATATGAAAATCTAAAGATTGAATTTCAACGTTTAGAAGAACGATCTAATCAACTATTTTTACGACATAATTTTCATCTGCTTCCATTTCAGTCATCGCCAATTCATTCAAATTCCAATAACGGACAGCAACAGGTTCCATCAATTGGAAGTTCAATTGGTTCGATCAATGATGTTGCTGGCGATCTAGTTGTCGAAGAAGTTATCGCCGATGATAGTGAACTTGCTAAAGAAGCTCTTGATTGTCTCGATATTATCGAGGCAATGGATAATGAAAATAATCGTCAACAATCGCCAATATTCGGCGATAATCATCAACGAGAATCATCCAGTAGTCCTCATCAATCATCATTATCATCAAGTTTATCTCGAGATCAATCATCGCAAAATTCATCAAAAAGCAATTTTTTCTCCAAATTATTTCGTCGATTCTCTTCACAATCGTCTTCACATTCAGTTGATAATATAGGCCATCAGAATCAAACAAAATCATTGGAAATGAACGAACCTATTTTTGAAAGTTTTACGACTGAAGAACTGACCGCATCTATACCACCCCCACCACCTCTTCCACAATCAATAATGAATTCTGATTCATCCAATAATCTCGATTCTTTGGATCAATTTGCTGGACATTTATGTGGTCAATTAATAATCTATTGTAAAGTTCGTATTGAAATGATTGATTTTTATGAACGTTTAGCTATGGCCGGTGGTAGCCATCATAATAATCATCAAAATTGTCAACAACAACACCAACAGCAGCAGCAAAATTTTACTAATAAATTCATTCAATTAGATGATTTTTTACAAACGATTAATGATTTACATTCACGTGCTGAAGATTCATTTCATCATCCGGTATTGACAAGATTGAAAATTATGTTCATGTTTGAATGTGATATAATTTTAGCATTACTTCGTTGCCATCATTTTATACAAAAATGGCGTTATATGGAAAGTTTATTCGCATTACAAGAAGCACATAATAAAATTAGCCGTTTAGCTAATCCGAAAGAATTTTTTTTCGAAAATCAAATGCTTTTATCAATGGTTGCCGGTAATACTATTGGATCCGGTACAGTTATCGTTAATGGATCGCAAACACAATCAAAACAATATTCACCACCGACAACAGATGGACAAACGACCAAATCAAACCAAACAGGTGTCAATAGTGCTAGTGGACAGAATAATCAAATGTCATTAGGAGCTTCAAGTTTATCTAGTTCAAGTAGTTCGAATTTAAGTGTTCCAAATAGTAGTGGTCGTCCATATTCACCATTATCACCGAATCAAACACATTTTGTCTATCCGAACAATATCACAGGAACAGCAATGCATCCCGGATCATCATCATCATCATCGACAACACCATCTTCAACATCGACTAAATTTCTTTTTCGTACCGTACAACAGCAACAACAAGGTCATCAACATTATTCAGGATTTTCTTCATCAATGTTTTTGGATACAAAATCGATACCATCATTAATACAATGGTTTAATCGGTTTAAATTATTTTTATTATCAAAATATAGTTTTTATTTTCATTCGTTATTAATGATTCATTTGACGCCGATTCAATCATCATCATCAAACATAATTCAATCAATGACATCCACTAATTCGTTATCATCGTTAATAAATCAATCATCATCTTCATCGAATGGCATAAATTATCAACAAACGGATAATTATATGCGTAATCTATTTGGAAAACATAGTAACAACAACAATAATAATGCTAATAATCAGTTTTATGATTTTCATTCAAAAATTATTCAATTTATACGTAAAATTGGTTCAGATTTTCAACCATATATAGTACTTATATGGAATTTACAAGGTAAATCAGATATTTCATTAGCAGGATATCGTTCACCATTCATTGATACAGTCATTCCACAAGGTAAATAAATCATGATGATCGAATTGATTAGTTGATTAATTGGAAATTTTTTCATCCTTTAAAATTTAATTTAAATTAGGTCGTGGTTCATTACCAATTATTTATTCATATCCTATTGAATTCAATATGAATCGACATCCATCATTAATAATGATAATGGAAAATCATTCAAAAGAATTGAATAATACCGATATTGTTGTTATTGAACATGACCGTAAGCCACAACAACAACAACAACAATCATCATCAACAGCAACGATTGAATCAAATCATTCAATGATAACATCATCATCCAATTCATTAAATGTTACATATTTTCTGGCTAGACCAGATCCGGATATGACATTGGCATTGGTGATCGAATCAAAACGTTCAATAAATGAACGTGATCAAAACCATATGCAATTATTTATGCAGGATTTATCATTATCATTACGTGATACAAAAATTTTACATAGTTTTCGTATGGGAAAATTTTAGCTAAACATTCTTTTTATAGAAATTTTTTTTAACGACATGATTTTTTATTTCTTGACAAAATCAATCTGGTGTTTTTTGTTTTTGTTTTGAATAATTTTAAATTATTGTGATTTTTTTTCTTTCTCTCACAGAATTATTTGTATTTGGATTTTGAATTTTATTCTTATTATCTACAATATTCATTCATGAATGAAATTTCTATTGATTTGTAATAAAATTTTTTTTCCGATTCATAATTTGATTCGTTGTTAGTAGAAAGTAAAATTATGTACTTTCAATCTGATTGATATAAACCTCTTGTACATTAAGTGATGATTCAAATTTGAAGTGTTTTTTTTCAAAAAAATCGACAAAGATTATCGCAAAGTTTTTAAATAAAAACATTGTCTTTTTCCTGGAAAAAATATTTCAAAAATGCAATAACAACTGTTATTTAAAACCGATAACTAAACTGATAATGTTTAATTAATAAATACATTGATAATAATTAATTGTTAAACTAGAACTTTCGAATATAACTCAAATCCAAAATATCCCGACAATCAGAATGATGCTGATCATTTCTCAAATGAACGCTTGATTATTTGTATTTAAAAAAATTTAATTCTCTCTATTTTTTTTCTTCCAACAATTAAAATTTAGTTTTACAATCATGAATCATTCTGGTCAAACATTGACAAAAATTCAGATCATTGAAAAACAGATGAAAATTTCTAAACTTCGAATAAACCGTTATAAAATATTGATGGAAAAAGAACAAGATAATCAAGAATTTTTAATTTCGGAAATGTATAAAGAATTAAAAAATTTGAAGAATTTTCATCAAAACGATAATTCTAATAAAACCAACAACATCAATGCAAATAAATTCAACAAATCAATTTCAAACCCTAAACAACGATGTCAAGATGTTCAACAAGAACAAAAACAAAAAAATCAATATCAATGTATGTATGCGGTATGTAGTTTTAATGCGGATAATCGGGGTAAATTGTTACAACATATGAATTCATTTCATATGGAATCCATTTTTGGTTGTTCAAAATGTGGAAAATTTTATCAAACACGAAATCGTCTTGAAAATCATTTATGTAATGATAATCGATAGATATGCTAATATTTTGAATATCATGATCAATATGATAATGTCATTTTTTTTGAATTGTGAGCAAATTATTTGATTTTAAAATAAAATTCGAGAAAAAAAAATCAATTTTTAACTGCATTTGTTTTTTTATTTGAAAAAATGAATGAGAGATTACCATTGTAAATCAATGTGCTTGTTATAATTTCGACAAAAGAAATAAAGAAAGAAAACAATAGAAGAAAAATGGCGGATAAAATTCATCATCATCAATCTTTGTTTGTTTTGTTTTTCGTTGAAAATGATGAGATTCAATCGTGATGTTTGATCAAATGTTTTTCAAGATAATTTAAAAAAAAAATTATTATGTTTTAATTGATTATATTATTAAATCATTATTAATTTATTTATATAATGTGTTTATATGATGATGATTATTATTGGAAAATTTCATCAAAATTTGATTTGAAATATTATTATTAAATGGATGATTAATGATGTTTGATTGCGGCCGCTGCTTTCAAACGCCGTGCTTGTCGTGGACCAACCGTTGTTGCTGTATATAAGTTTGCAAATTTACCAACTGATAAACCATTCTTATTTTGAGGTCCATTAAGATTATTTTTATTATTATTATGATGATTGTGATGATGATGGTGATGATGAGAATGATGAATATTTTTTTGCTTAATATTCTTTTTCTTATTTGATGACGTTGGCCGCATTTGTGCTTTACGATATCCTATCGTTGAAGATGATGATGATGATGATGATGACGATGCTGTTGAAGATGATGATGTTGAGGAAGATGATGTTGTCGTCGTTGAATTGTTTTGTTTTCTTCTATTTTCAAAATCTTTAATCAATTCTAATGAAATGATATTTTCTTTTGGTTCCCATTGATTATAACGACTAGACCATCCTTTCCATTCAACAAGATATTCAATACGGCCATCGGGTTTGATACGTTTATCCAATAAACGTTTAACTGCATACACATCTTTGCCTGCGATTAATCCACGTTTTGATACCGATTTAGATGACGACGATCCTGATGATGTTGATGGTTTGGTCAATGAATTTTTTGTTTGTTTTTTTGGCTGTTTTGATCTCGATTTTGGTGGCTGTTTTTTTGTCGGTGATCTTGTTGAAATTTCAAATGCAATAGCCAATGCTGCATTTTTTGCCGATTGCCTTTTACTTGTAGTGCTCATATTTCATATGAATCAACATATACAAAAAACAAAACAAAATTATTATAGTATAATTAATGAATAATGATTAAATAATAATGATGAGATCGATGACGAAATTATAGTAGCAAAAAATTGATGACTGATCAATAAATACAATCATAAAAGGATTGTATTAAAGATAAACATCTGGAAAAAATATATAAATAATTTGATCAACAAAAAAAATTAATTAATCTTTCATTCAAATATTTTGATTTTGTTTATTAATAATCAAATTCTTTGAAATTTGAGAGCTTGATTGGCGGATTGGAAAATTCTCTCTTCTCCCTAAATGGCGGCTATAGTTGTTTACACACACAACACATACACAGACACAAACTTTGTACATAGAATGAATGAATAGAGAAGAAGCACGAAAGCGAGTTATTATTTCTCACTGAATGCAATGGGATGATCAACAAATACTCCCTATTTATATCCAATGAACATGTTCGGGTAATAATGGATGATTCGAATCCCCCCAAAAAAACACTTTCAAAATGTTGAAATATTCCTTTTTCTGGTTTTTTTTTCTGAAATTACAATTCTTCTTTTTTTTGCTTTTTTTGATTTTTAGAAACATTTGATTCAACGAAAATCAATATGAAAAATATCGTCTATATCAGGATCTTAAGATTTAAATGAAATAAATTAATCGCCTTTCATTGTCATAAATATAGCTAAAAATATGGATAATCTTGATCATTAATAATGATTCGATCAAACTTTTTGGAATTATTGTTTTTCATCATTTCTTGATTATGATGATTGATATCTGCTATTGAGAATGTACTAAATGTTGGAAAATTTGATTGTTGTTGTTGGCTATTATTGAAATACAAAGCTTCCGAATTTTTCTGATCACGATGATAATAATTTTGATTAGGTTTTTTATGAACCGATCGGTTAAAGTTTGATTGCAAATATTCATTTAGCTGTGAAGGAATCATTGAATATTTTGAGGATAATGATGTCACATTATGTTTGCTGTAGTTTTTCGAAGATTGACTGGAATTTGTTCGTCGTTTTGATTTAGATTTTGATATTTTATCTGATTGATCAGACATATTTGGTGATTTCATTGTGACCAATGAGAGTCCATTGTGCATTGGCAATTCATAATATAATGTAGATGATTTATTCACACTTTCCAATGATCGAATTTTATGTTTTAAATATTTTCGATAATTTAATAGAACGGATGTATCAAAACCACAACCACGACGTCCATTGATTGATCTTCGATCACCTTGATAATTATCGAGAATTTGTTTTAATTTTTTCTGTCCATCACTTGATTCAATCGTTTCGTAATCAGCCATTTTACTTCGAATTTCAATGAAGGTCCTGAATGAATAATTTTAAATTTTACAAATTTTAAAAATGAAAAAGATTCGAATTTTTCTTTCAATTCGAAGTAATTCTGTTTATGAACGGACCAGTTGTTTTTTTTTGTTTCGATTCTTTTCGATAAATCAATGTGTGTGTGTGTGTGTGTTATATGTCTATTTTTTTGCGAGGTTTTTTTTTGTTGTAAACAATTTAATTTAATTTTGTTATTATCGTTTGTTGTATTCATCCATTGATTTTAATTTCATAATCATCAATATCAGTGGCAATAATAATTCCTGATTTATTCCGTTTACATCAGTCAACAGTTTATTTAATTAGAATAAATAATAATTCATCATCATGGCTGATCCATTATCATTATTACGACAATATCATATGCGTAAAAAAGATATTGTTGAAAGAGATCAGATGATTTGTTTTGGTGAATATTGTTGGCCAAAACAAACAAAAACAAATTATCTAATCTATAGGTCGGTTTGTTGTGATTCATTTTCATTTCTCTAAATTCTTTTCTTTTTTTTCTGTTTTGTTTTGAAAAATTAGTTCATCACGTGATGGACCGAATAAAAATTATTATACACTTGAATGTTTGGTCTATTTTCTTCGTAATGTTCATCTACAACATCCTACCTATGTTAAGCAGGCAGCATCGTTTGAGATTCCTGGTTTGTTTCTATTATCATTTTCGATAATGAAAAAGACAATTTGTTTTCTCACTCTATTTTATCATTTTGTATATAGTCGTACAAAGACCAGATCGTAAAGATTTACTTGCGTATCTTAGTGGCGAAACATCTACATCGGCTTCCATTGATAAATCTGCACCAATTGAATTGCCCATCAGCATTTCTCAACTGGTCAGTCATTATTTAATCAATCAACGAATCACAACTAATAAGTTTTCTTTATATTTGTATAGAACAAAGAAAGTGGCCATCAACAGAATTTATCTGGTCATGTCGGAATGACTGGCCAATTGATGGATGGTCAAGATGGACCACCAGCTAGTAAATTGGCTCGATTAGATGAAATGGAAAAAGTTCGCAAGCAATTTGCCGCACGTTTAGATGCACCGAAAATTAAGAAAACATTGCCAACGGATTTATTAGTTGGACAACATGGTTCAAGTTCGGCTAGTGGTATCGGTGCTTCTGGTGATTCGAATACAACATCTCTTCGCGATTCGATGAGTCATGAACAGATTGCCGCATTGAAAGCAAAACGTTTGGCAAAAAAACGTTCGACGATTATTGATGCTGATACCGATCTGGAAGGTGCACAAGCATTAGGGTAAGGAATGATATGAACATTTATCAGTATTTTAAAAATGATAATTTGTTTACAGACTGAATAATACGGCAGCCGATCATTCTGTGCTATTACAGTATGATTCAAATTTTACCAAAGAAATTCAGAACAAAGAACGTGTATGGCGTAATCGTACCAATATATTACAATCATCAGGAAAAAATTTTCAGAAACCAATATTTTTCATACTACAATCAATCAAAGTGCGTGAAGATAATGCATTACGGAATCGTGGCAATGGTATTGTTTCGAATAATTCTATACATTCATCAAGTCAAATGAATCGATCGAATTTATTATCATCATCATCAACATCATCGGTTATAATGTCGACAACATCATCACAGATGAATAATGGTCAGGCAATAAACGTCGGTAATAATATTCAACAAATACAACCATCAGCACAACCTGCCAATATTCAGCAACAACAAATAGCACAACAACAATATAATCGTTATGATCAGGAACGTTTTGCTAAAAATGATTCGGCATTAGGTTTCAGTATCGATACGACCAGTACATATCATGGTCTTACATTAAAAAGTGTAACAGAAGGTTCAACTGCACCGAAAACCGTTTCAGGTTCAGCAGTGACAGGTCTATTAATGCAGAAAAATAATCAACTTGTTTCTAATAATGGTCATCATGGCAATCAAAAACCACAGAAACGACCATCACGAACTCCGATTATCATAATACCAGCAACCAATACATCTTTGATTACAATGTATAATGCAAAAGCTATTTTACAAGATCTAAAATATATGGATTCCAAACAATGTGATCAACGACGTGAAAATGAAATTCTGATACAAAGAAGAAAACCGGATAATACCACTGTTCCGTATCGAATCATTGATAATCCATTGAAATTAACACAGGAAGAGTGGTATGTTAACTTTGAGAAAAAGCGAATCATTAATAATTTCATTGATTTTTTAAAGGAATCGTGTTGTAGCAGTTTTCGTTCAAGGACCAGCATGGCAATTCAAAGGTTGGCCATGGAATGGTAATCCCGTGGAAATTTTTGCGCGAAGTAAGTTTTTAACAATTTGTCCATTTTCCATAATTTTTTTGTTTTATTTTTTTTTTCAGTAAAAGCATTTCATCTAAAATTTGATGAAATGAAATTGGATAATAATGTTGCAAAATGGTCGGTAGAAATTATTGATTTATCTCGTAGTAAACGACATTTGGATCGAGCAAATTTATTAAAATTTTGGTCATTATTAGATCAACATATTGCCAAACATAAACATAATGTAGTTCGTTATTGATCAAATTTACTGATGTTTTTCTTTCAAACTAAATCATCATTATCACCGTTTTTCATTTTAAATTCAAACATTTACATTATTCATTCAATATCTACGCTTGAAAATCATGGACATCTCTATATAATTTTTAAAACAATCCCAATCGACAATTAATCGTACTACTGGATATGAGCATCATGTTTGAATTTTTAATTCTAATGTAAATATAATATTTCATATTATTATTATCATATAAATAAAATAAAATATATTAATTATTTAAAAAAATCCAATGATAATATGAAATGCAAGACAAATATACAATACATATACAGAAAAAAAAGAAAAATTAAGCAACAAGTGAAAAAATTATGTAAATAATAATAATGATGATGTGACTAAATTCAAATTGGCAACAAAATTGGTGTTTGTTTTTTTTTTTGGTGTTTTTTCTTTTTGTGTTAGTAAACAGGAAATATAATTTTGTTTATTTTATAAACAACATTTCCATTTCATTGATTGACCATTGTTATTGTTTCGCAATTATTATTGTTTGTGCTGCTGTTGATATTATTATTATTGATTTTATTCATTTCATCAGCATGATCACTGTAAAGATGAACTTGAAGAAATTTGGCGGCTTTAAATAAACGAAAACAAATATGACATGTATTTGAACGTGTTGCTGCAATTGTTCCATTCAATGTTGATGATATTATTTGTTGATTTGAATTCGATGATGGTATTGGCTGTGAATTGATCGATGATGATGATTGTAATGTTGTGGAAGATTTTTGTTGCGATGATGATATGGTCAATGTTTTATTCATTATCATCATATCATTTGATGATGATGATGATGACGAAATCGTTTGTATTGTTTGAATATCATTAGTTTTCTGTTGTTGACTAGATGATGATGAATCACCATCATCACCATCATCGTATACAAATTCTTCAGTTATGGCACCAGAATTTGAATCTTCTTGATTACAACAAACATCATTATTATTACAACTGCTTCCATTTCCATGGTTACTCAAATCATTATTATTATTATTATTATCAAAATTTTCATTATCATCATCAACAATGATGACATTTTTATTCCAACATTTTTGTCTTGGATCATATAATTTTTGTGCTAATGATTGTAATGTTTCTAATGCACGGCCACAATCGGTAGTATCGATTAATCCTGGATTAATATTCTTACGTTCCATTTCGGCATACATACCGAATGGTAATTTACCTAAACATTCAAGTTTCATAATATGCATTTTTGAACGTAAATGTTTAGCTAGATGACCATGCATACGAAATGCAATTTTACAATCAGCACATTTATATGGACGTGGATTATCCGATGATGGTCGACCAAATGTTATACTCATATTTAATTTATTCATATGCGATACTGAACGTGCATGTTTTTGTAATTGACCTTTTGTACGAAAACTGACAGCACATGATTCACAACGAAATAAACGTTCAAATGAATGTATTTTATAATGTAAACGTAATTGTTCAGGTTTACTAAATTGTTTCATACAAGTAGGACATGTTGGTTTATCATCAACACCATCAATACGTTTTGTTGGACTTTTACCAATAGTTACCATTCCCGAATTGTTTGTATTTATTAATGGCGGTGAAGATTGTTGTTGTGAACAACCAGCAGGTGATGATGATTTATCATTATTCGTTTCACCACCATTATGATTCATCATTATAATACGTGGTAATGAATGTGGTGAATGAATTCCGGATGTTAAATGGGCAAATTCATCACGGCGAATATTTTGATATAATTGATGACCATTTGTGGTATGATGATTACCATAAGATGATGTTTCGATCATCATATGTGATAATGGTGAAAATGATTGTCGAATATGCTCGACAAATTTAGCTGTTGATTGTTGCCGTTGCGGTGATGATTGTTTCAATGATTTTGCAGTGGGTGATGATGATGATGGCAATGTTGAAATATTTGATGATAAAAATGCTGGTGATGATCGTTTCAGCTTTTCAGGTGTTCCAAAATTATTATCATTATTTGATTGAGATTGTTGTTGTGTATTACCACTGTTTGATAATGGTGTTTTTTTCGATGACAAATCAATGGGCTCAACTTGTAATGATGATGATGTTTGGAATTGTTGTTGTGAAGATTCTTGATTATTATTAGCCACATAACGATTCAATGATTGTTCCACAATCGATGGTAATGATGGTGTACAAAAATTTGCGGATGATGATGGTCGAATAAACTGTACAGGATCACCACTGACAACTATTGATGGTTGGCCATGATATACAAGCGATTGCGGTGATTTTGTCATTATCATTGGTTTTGAATTAACAGACTGTAATGATGATGATTGTTGTTGAAAATTGGAAAAATTTTTCTGTGATAATTCATTCGGTGTGTTTGATATTGGTGATTTAACCAACGTTTCGGAAACTAATGGTGATAATTGTCTGATAATACCATCACCAAGAATTTGTCCGGATGATTGATGTTGAACTATATTTGTCTTTGGACTTTCATTCGAAATGATTATAGGACTGGTTCGTTTTAATTGTGATGATATTTCGGATAATACAGGAGGTGAAACAATAATTTTTGGAGTTTCAATTGCCATCGAAGAATCGCTCGATGATGATGTACGAATCCGTTTTCTTGGGCTTGTATTCAATGTCGGATGATGATGCTGTATTGATTGATGATTAGTGATGATAACACTTGTTGGATGGCTCATTGGTTGATGATAATGATTTGGCTGTGGTTGGATTTGTTGTGAAAGAGTTGGTGGAGGTGATGGACGATTGACCATCATTCCAGATTTATTCATAATAGAATCAATCGAATTTATCGGTTTCAATAAGGCCGTATCATAGCCATAAAATTCTGGTTTAAACTTAGTTGATCGTTGATTTGCTGTCACAGCGATTGCCGGATATAAGCTAGATGAATGACTTAGATCTGTCAATGGTTGCATTGAAGATAATGATGTTGGCGGTAATGGCGCTGAAGCAACAAGTGTTGGTTGTGATTGAATAATTAATTCGTTTAGTTTTGACTTTGGCTGTTGTTGTGGATGACCATCCAATAACAATGGTGATCTTCGACAATGATTCGATGTTGTTGCACCTGACGATAATATTAATAGACTATGAATAGCTTCGGCTTCATTTTCATTATGACCAACTGTTGTTGTTACAGTTGTCGATGTCTGTGCTGTTTGAGATTGATTTTCATTTTTTGCATTAAAATCATTATTATTATTTTCAATCATTGCTGTAGATAATGAATGTGATGTTGAAATGATTGGACGATTTTGTCCAGTTTCGATAATGGATAATTTTCTTTGTCTTGCTAAATGAGAAGAAACGGATTGATTATTATCTGATTTCAACGATTTTTTCTGCTGCTCGTTTTGTTCATTGTTGTTTGATGAATTGATTAATAAATTATCATCATTATTATCATGTATAGCATCATCAAATTGTCCTGGTTCTACATAGTTTAATCTATTCACTGCTAGTTGTTGTTGTTGTTTCGTTTCGTTACAGGTTGGTACGATTGGAACACCTTTGAATTCATAAACAAACGTAATGTTTAATTATCGGAAAAAATGATTAATAAAATATAAAATATTATAATTACCTTCATCATCATCATCATCGTCATCATCAAACATATCATCATCATCAAATTCATCATCATCATCACCACCACCAAAACGTCCAATTGAACAATGTGATAATCGATTATTACCACCGTTACCATCGATCGAACAATTTGAATCGGAACGATTTAATTCATATTGTTCTTGTTTAGCTAATGCTTCTAAATCGATCTGTGAATCATCGATACAAGTTGGTACAGGTATTATACCTAATTCAACACATTTTTTATGATGTGCTTTCGATTTCATATGTTTAGTTAGATTTCCTTTGGTTTTGAATGCAAATGAACAATGACGACATGAATATGGCCGTAGATCAGTATGTGTTCGTATATGTTTTTTTAACATTGATGGTTTTTTACAACGTATACCACATTCACCGCAAACATATTTACCACGACCACGACCACGTATATAGGTATAATCTTCGTTTGATTTAAAACCACCTAAATTTTTTTTTCAAATAAAATTAATAAAATTAATTTTCGATAATCATTTTTTTGGGTTATCAACATCAAAAACAAAACAAAATCAAATCAAATGAAAAACAAAACAAACATACAGAAATAGACACACAAAAAGAAATGAACAGAATACAGGCAAATCAATACTTGTTGTTGTTGTCGTAAAAAAAAATAAATGATCAACAAACACCACCACTACAATAACAACAACAACCAAAGAGAATTTAAAGAAACAAAACAAAAAACCAAGTTCAAGAAAATACTAGTGGTCAACAAACGAAAAAAAAACTGGAAAAATTCATTCATTTTATTTCAATTCAACATCAATCAATCAGTCGGTCGGTCGGTCAAGACAGAAGATCAAATAAAGTGTTTGGTCTTTACTTTTTTCAAAATGAAAAAAAACAGAATAAATTCTAGTGAAAACTTCTTTTTTTTTTGTTTTTTGTTTCCAAAATTCAAATGAAACCGCGTTTTGATGAACAGTGAAAATTTTTTTTCCTCTTTCCTTTACTCTTTCTGTTATTCAATCTGAACCGAACAGAACAAAAAAAAATTTCAAGGTTATCATCTTTGTCTCGTAATAATTATTTTTTTTCATACAAGATAAAAAAAAAGGTAAAGTCAAATATTTTTTCCATTCATTCATAAATTCTCAAACGAATGATCGAATCATACAAAACAAACGAAAATTACTTACTGGATAATTTTTCAACCAAACAACGCGACAATTGCTATAGGAAAAAACGATCAGAATTGAAAAAAAAGAATCAAGTTTTCTTTTCGCCATTCATTCATTCATTCATTCATTCATTCATTCATGACTGACTGACTGACATATGTGATATAGTGAGAGTGTGAAATAATGATGATCATCAACCGACCAAATATCGTTTTACAGACTTGTTGGAGCCAGACAATACGGCGCCAGTCATAATGAATGTCCAAATAATAAAGAAATGTTTACTTGTCTATGTCTTTGAGTGTATTTTGTATAGACAGAAAATGAGATAAAAACAATTTTTGGCCAAAAGGAAAGCGGCAAAATGTCTATGAGTAAATGGCAATGGCTTTCTTTTTTTTTCGTCTTTTGTCGACGACCAAATACATTTGCAATGAAATGTGTTTGTGGTAAACGTCGGCGTGGCGACTATTGATGACTATATGTGGCCAGTTGTAATGTTTTGTTAGACATAGACTAAAAATATTACAAACGAAACAAAATCTTTTGTGGCTGCATCAAGAGAAATCATCCATTTCATTCAATCTTATGATCATCACATTGATTGTTGTTATGATGATGATGATGGTGATAAGTTTGTTTTTTTTTTGGAGGAAAGAAATAAGAAAATTAAAAATTTGGGTCTGATCTTTTCAAACTAATCAAATGGTAGCAATTGGAAAAAATTGAAATATTTTCAAAAATTTAAAATAATTTTCAATGAATATAGAACTACAGACTCCATCTAGTGTTGTTTGATGAAATTTTTTTCATGTTAAAAAATTTAAAATTAATCAATTTGCCAATAACAATTTTTTTTTTTAATTTCCTCATTTGAAAAGGAAAAAAAGAGAGTGAAAAAAATTTCCAAAGAACACTTCATAAATGTATGTTACAATTTTTCAATGTTTCATTCATTCATTCATTCAATCAATTCGGTTATCTGACAAGCTGAAAATGATCCTTTTAAATTCAATTTCAAAAAAAAAATTGTGAAATGTGAAAATCATAAAAAACAACAACAAAGTAAAGGGCTTTAAGCACGAAGCATGTTTATGGGCCGAGCAGTAGCAGCAGCAGCAGGTCGTTATTTTATGTTATATAATCATCATCATCATCAACAACAATTTAATATTTTACAGGTTGACCTAGATTCCTTTGGAGAGTCAAAAAAACGCACTATATGAACTTATGATGATAGAGGGTAACCAAAAAAGGTGAACGAACCAAAAGAAAAAAATTGAAAATTAAAAAACTTATCGGTGACTATGGCACATATGGTTTAATAGTTTTTTTTTCTTCTTCAAAAAACGGTAGCAATATAGCAAATCATCATCACTTGTTACCACATTATTATCATTCAGGTTTTTATTTTTTGTTAAATTCGAAATTTATTTTAATTTTTTATTGGTAAATCATAAACATTAACACCAAAAAAAAACCAAGAAAAAATACTGATAAAGTAAAATGATACTACCATATTCCACCGTCAGATTTAAATGATGTGGGATATTTTGTTTTCCAATCTTCCTCATCTTGGTTAATATATTTTGACTATTATAATGTCGTGGTATTATTTGTATGATAATCAAAAAACATTTTTGAATAAAAAAATCCGAGTAACGATAATTGCGGAAACAGATTTGACATCAACAAAAAAAAAGAGCAACATTAAAATTTTGGGGTCATCATTATAATCTATGACAATGATAATGTTCGAAAGTTTTTTTTTATATTTTGTATTTCATTAGAAAATAAATTTGAAGATAAATTTTGCTTTTAGTTTTTGGAAATAAACATTATCGCAATCATAAAAATTTCGGTCAAAATATTAATGTTTTTTTGTTAGGTTTTGGGTTTTGTTTGTTACCATTAGTGGTGGAGGAGGTGGAAATTAAATCATAACTTTATCTCAGGCAAAGAGTGTAGTTGGCCTTGATCAGTAATCAAAAAAATGTTATACCAAGATTTTATGAATTTGTTTTCAGAACAAGAAAAAACACACATCTGTTCAAATTGAAAAAAACATTCACGAATCAGGATGATCCATCCAGTAAGTGAGAAACATTTGTGATTTAAAAGTACTCAAAGGGTTTTTTTTATTAAAATGAATATTTTCATTTTCTTTAAATTTTTTTCCAAGGAAATTTCTTTCCTCTATCCATGGTTTTTTTTTGAACGACGGCAAAAAAAATTCATTTCATTTCATTTCAAAAAAAATATTTTCCAAATCACTCTTCCTGGATCAACATAGTTTTGAAGCAATATGTCAAGTTAGAAAAACAAAAACAAAAAATGATTTCAAGGTTGCATCTTGAATGTGAAAAAAATCAATGGTATACTCTGTGTATACTCTGTATAAAAGAGTTGATTCTCATAAATTTTATTTAATTTCATCATGATCAAAATCATAAGACATCATTTGACAAAGACGAAAAAAACATCATAGAATGATAATGATGGTGGGAAAAAAACTAAGAAATAAACTAAGAAAAGAACCCGAACCTTGACGAAGAAGGGTGAAATAAAGAAAATAATAATAATTCATTATGGGATATCTATTTTAGAAAGAAAATTCCTAAGAATCTGTCAATATTCATCATTCAAAAAAAAAATAATACTAGCATCCTTCCATCTTGAACGTATTGGATCTCATCACATAATTGCAAGAAGAAATGCAACAAAAAAAACATTAATATAATGATGGAAAGTGAGTGTGAGATCAGACCAAAGCAGGTATGAGTCGATATTATCCCCTACACCTTACGGGACTAAATGTTTTTGTGTGTGTGTGGGTAATAAATAATTGAACAATGTCTCTCTCTCTTTCTATGGATACCACACACAACAAGTATAGATCGGGTAATTTTTGGCCCATTTTTTTCTCCTCTCCATCGTTCAATTTCATTTTAATTCAAATTTGAGAAATTTCATGCACAATTTTTTTCCTGAATGACAAACATTTTTTTAAAAAAAGAAGATATGATAATTTGCATAATCTTTTTTTTTCATCGGCAAAACTCTCACACTTTTTTTTTCTCGTTTACTCTTTTTTTTGTGAAAATTTGTTTGTATAACCTCGACAATCAGTTAAAGGGTTACACAGGTAACATGGAAAGTGATTTGATTGATTCAAAAAAAAAACAAAATTAAATTACCTTCAAAAATTTTAATCCTTTTCGGTAATGATGCGGAAATATCATCATTAGATGATGAATGTCCAATTAAACGATGCCAATGATGATCATTACAATCATTTAATGAATGATAATGTTTTTGTTTTACACCAATACATTCGGAAAATTTTCTTGATGCTAGATTTGTTGTTGTTGATGACATTATCTGTTGTACTGTTGGTACAGCTAAATTCGGTGATATATTTGACATCATCATTATATACATTACAGCTTGTTTATCTGATAAATGTCCAAGCAATGGATGCATTGTTATATATGGATTTATTAAACTATTAGTTATTGATTGTTGTTGATTGATTGAATCTGTTGTTTTTCTTTTCATCGTTTCATCATTTATTTTTGTTGTTGTTGTTGTTGCTTCATTCAATTCATCAAGAATCATATTGTTCAATGTTGATTTTATTGTCGTTGTCGCTGTTGTTGTTGTTATTTTATTCAGTGCAAATGATACACGTGTGGAATTTCGATTTTGATTTCGATTCAATTGATTTATTGATTTACGTTTCTGTTGATTTTGATAATAATTCGAATGTGTCGATATATAATGCAAACGTGTGATCGAATCACAAATACGATCAACAATTCTGGAATCGATTGACCAGATAATATGCTTCAATGTTCGTTCAGTTAATTTAATTGTCGATGTCAATTTTTCGGATAAATTTTCACTATTCAACCTAACATGATCATCATTTGTAATCATATGACTTAGACGTGATTTAATCGTATCAAGAAATTCCTGTATGGATCCCTTAGTTTCACTTGATGTTGACTTCTGTTGTTGCTCCTCCTGTTTAACAATTGTTATTGGTTGGTTTTTATCTACAGCAGTTACCGTAGTCAATGTCGGTTTTAACGAAGATGAATACCACAATGTGGATAATGATGATGATGATGATGGTGATGTTCGATGGCGATTGTAAAAGACCGCCTCATTTGAATCATATGCCGATAATAATTGACAAGGTGATTTAAGTGTATGTAACACGTGTCCTTCAGGTACGGGATGTGTTGCCCATTGTGAATACATTGATAATTGTGGATTTGCTTCTTGCATAACATACATTGGTTGTAAACGATATATACAACAATATGTTGGCCGTAATGATACTTTTAGACCTAGATTTGAATAGGCGTTACCATCAAGAAATAATTGCTGATATTTTTGTTGTGATCTTGGTGTATCTGGTGATATTAATGTTGATGCTATTAATTTTATTGAATGATCAAATTTATGTTCAACATTAATATCATTCTGTATCATTGAACATTGATTAACCAATATGGATAATTTTCGGCCATCCAATGTTGTTGATAATTGTTGATTATTTGATTGATAATCAATGATATTCAATGATAATGTTGTTGGACGTTGTAATGATTTTTTTGATAAATCAATAGATTTTTGACCATTATCAACGGCATCTAATAAATCATCCATTAAATTATTCATTTGTTCATCACATTCTAAATCATTTAATATATCATCCATCAATTGTCGTACAATTTGATCTGAAATTATTTCCTCCTCATGTTTGACAATAAATTTCATTTCATCTTTAGTTGAATCGATAAAATTATTGATTTGTTTTTGATCATCCATATTATCCAATGTAAATTCATAATTTGTATGATTATCAAGTAGATTCTGTAACACTGGAAATAATAATGGACCTTTTAAAGTAATTTTGGTTGATGGTCGCATCAAATATGGCATATAAGCGGGTATTATTTCCAATGGTATTAACGGATCTTGCTGTTGTTGTTGTTGTTTACAAGTTTTTGATTGTTGCAAAACTGAATCACGATGTTCATTGATGGCTGATTCTCGTTTTGAATCTACATCGGTGATTGACAAAAAAAAAGTAAAAATTTTGAATTTTTCAAATTTTTTATTAAAAATTTATTACCATAATCATAATATGTTGATGATGACCAATGACGAAATGCTGGTTCGGATATTTTTCGCTTCTTCAATCCAATCGATGATGATTGTTGTTTTTCATTATTATTATTATTATTATTAACATTATTTGATTGTTGTTTTTGATGTCTTGGACATTTATATATTGTTGATGAACTATTTGAATCATCATCATAATCGTCATCATAATCGCTATCATCAAAAATATCATCGGAATTATAACCCGAAAGTAATTTAGATTTGAGAATATTTCCAAAATTATATGACGATTTTGATATTGATGATGAAATTGAAAATTGATTCATATCTTTATCTTTATTATTATCACTACTATTGTTATTATCTTGTCGACGGTTTGTTGCCGCCGTATAGCTAATAATTGATGGACGTTCCAGAACACATACTTTACGTTCACGTTGTGGTAATTGCGGTTTTGTCATTGTTGTCGATGTCGATACAATTGATTCCGAATATTTCTCAGTTTCATTATCATCAACAACAATCACCTGTTGCTGTTGTTGTTGTTGATGATGATTTTGATTTTGATTACCACCACAGCAATAATATTTTTGATGAATTTCAAGATTCTGTTCCTGACGAAATGGTACCTGACAAAATCGACAAGTATATACAGCAACTGGTTGCTGCAATGATAATTGTGATGGTTGTGATTGAGGTGGCTGTGACGGTGGTTGTATAGTTATTTCCGATTGTATCGATTGCTGTTGTTGATAATTTGTTGATGATTGATTATCAACAGGTATGTTCGATATTGAACAACGGCTTCGTTTTCTTGGTGGTAAATGTAAATCCGATTTATTATCTAATGTTGTCGTCGTCGAAGTCGTTATCGTTGTCACTGGTGTTGTTGTTGATGTTATCTTTGTTGAATTTGATGTTTGTTCCAAAATAATATTGCTATTCTTATTCAATGAAGATGATGATTTGAGCAAAAGATCTTTAATTATACATTTTTGATCATTAACATTGTTCGAATTTTGATGACGATTATTATGACCCATTGTTGAATCCATCATTGATCTTTGATCAATATTCATTGATGTTGGTGATGGTGATTGACTAATATCATTATTGCTCGAGATCAATGTTCGTGATGAACCATTTTTTGTTTGGCTAATAATATTATCATTGGAATTTTGATTATTTCCAATGGAATTTAATAATAAATTTCTAACTAAACAATTTTTCGAATCAGATGTTGATGATGATCCACCATTCATAGAGATACCATTGATTGCTGCTGTCTGCGTATCAATAAGATAATTTTGTTGTATAGTACCAGTAGTTGCATTAATTATCACGGATTTTTGATTATTAGATAAATCACGACCAATCATCGCCATTCCTCCATTCATTTTTAATGATGATGATGATGATTGTGATTGTAATGAGGAATGTTGTGATGGTTCAAATAATGATGGAAATAAACTATGTGATGATGATGATGATGATGAACGATTATTCATCGAAGATGATAATTGTTGCGATTGAATGGTTGCAATCATAGCCGCTGTTGATATTTGCGGTGTAACAATATTTGTGGATAACATTGGTATAATGGAACTATTATTAGCTAAATATTGTTGTTGTTGAGACCATGAATATTTTCTTATTAAATCATCATTATGATGATCATTTATAATCGTTGATGGATGAAAAATGGGTAAAATCGTTGATGTTGTAGCCATAATACATGGCTGTGTTATCGTTGACGATGTTGTTGTTGTTGCTATTGTTGTTGAAGTTCCTGTTGTTCGAAATTGAGTCACAAATGATGATGATGATGATGATGGATGAAACGGAAATTGTTGTTGATGATTATTATTTAAATTTATTGATTGATTTTGATTCAATGATAAACATTTATCACCCAATAAAGCTGATTGTAAACGAGAATATTGTAATGATTTTTGTTGTAGATCACCCGTTGTTGTTGTTGTTGTCAATGACGATGACGATGATGATGATGAATGACGTCGTAATGAAAAATATGGCTGTTGTTGTTGATGATGATGATTATGATTATGACGGCTAGCCGATGATGATGAATTTTTCATCGATCGACGTTGATTATGTGAATGAGAGGTAGGTACCATTGTTGGTGATAATGATGATGATGATGATTGAAAACCAACAACACTTTCACCAATCGTTGATGATGATGATGATGATAATTGACTTGATTCACCTACAATTGCTTTATTTTCTTGTATTAATTTTGTTATATGCTCGGATATATCCTGATCAGTTGGCCTATGTTGTTGTTGTTGCTGTTTTTGGATGTCCGAAGTTGAGGTTTGACGTTGTTGTTGTTGATCAAGATGAATACCCGTTGTCGTTTTTGTTATTGTCGATGATGTTAATGGTGAAATAAACACTGATTGTTTTCTAATCGGTACAGTTGTACGATGTTCATTACGTTTTAAATCAAAATTATCATTATCATTATCATCATTATTATTATTTTGAGTATCAATTGATTTTGATTGTGTTTGTTGTTGAGATTTCGATAACATAATTTGATTATTTGAATTTTGTTGTTGTTGTTGTTGATCAATGAAACCATTATTATTATTTGAATCTAAATCCATAATTTGTATCAATTGATTTGATTGATTTCTCATCATCATCATCATCATTAATTGATCATTTGGATCATTTAAAAATAACGTTCTTGTATTTAATTGTTGTTGCGATTGTTGTTGTTGATGTTGTTGTTGTGTAACAATAAACGGAAGTGTATTTGAATGATTTAAATATTGATGAATCATTGGCGGTAGCGATGGTGGTGGTTGTGGCGGCGGCGGAGGCGGATGATGATGATTATTTAGATGAAAATATTTTTGTTGCACTGTTGAATGATTGGCTGCTGCTGCTGCTGCTTCTGTTGCCATTGTTGTTGCTGATGATGTCGATGATAATGATGATGATGGTGGTGATGATACGATTGTTGTTGGTGAGAAAGACATTTTAAAAATTTTATTTAAATTTATTAAATTGCATTATTTTTTCGTTATTTTTTTTTTTGTTTAAATTGAAACAAAAACCAAAATTAACAGAATTTCCGTAGATTTAAAAGCAAAACAAAAAAACAAACAAAAAACAATGAAAAACGATAAAATAACAACGAAAAAAAAAATTCACTTTTCAATCCAAAAAAAAAACAAAAACAAAAAACAACAACAGCAATAGAATCGATACGAGAAAAAAAATAGATTATATAATCGATTATAAGCAAAATACCCAATTGGACTTACACTCAATGAATGAGTGATAGAAATGAACGGATTATTGGATTTTGATGCATGTTTGTATTGTGTGTGTGTGCGCTTTTTTTGCGACATTAACTAAATATTGGTTTTATTGGTTGGTTGGCAATTTTGGTTGATTAGGTTGGTTGGTTGGTTGGTTGGTAACCGAGAGAATCATCCAATTATTATCATTATCATCATGTTTTTTTTCTGATCATTTTAATCACATAACCTCATAATTTTCCTGTGGTTTACTGATGATAATGTGGAGTGAGTGGGTTTCATTTTTTTCTTTTTTTTTTTTTTTTTGGCCACAAAAAATGATGGTTTTTTTTTTTCAATTTTTTTTTTGCCCAATTAAAAAGTAAACAAAAAATGTTAC